GCCAGAAGCCGAGAGAAAACATTTTGGTCGTTTTGTATCAGCTCGGCCAAAAGTCAACATTGAGTAACTAGAATAATGATCATGGTTAACAAGGGACAAAGCACAATTAAGGCATAACCTGCCGATTAACATCGTATTACCTAATTTGGTAAGTGTCAGAGTAGGCCCACCATGCTCAGGCCCATGTCAGGTGTTATAAATAGGTCGCTTGTAGCGAGGTATGTCACTGTTCATTTAATTACCCTAGAAAATAGTGTTTGCTCTAACTTGAGCGTCGGAGTGCCTTTTGCAGGTAAAGAATGGACATTAAGTGTATAGGGATTCTAGGGTTGTAAAGATTTGCATATAGTGGCTGTATAGGATTCTGTGGAGTGGGCCAGCAACGAAAGGACAAGGAATGTGTGGGTGTGGGCCTGGTCTTTTATCTTTGTCCACTTTAGTGTCGAAAATGGAGGTTATGATTTTGCCTCAGACATGAAGATAAGAATGAGCTTGTGGCAAATCTTTACGACATTCCCTACCATTCGAATATGATGCACTAGTGTTGGTACCTTTTCATGCCAACTATTTTCTCGCCCAAAAAAGTTTCAAGTTTCTCCTCTCCCCTCATTTCTTTAATTAAGGAAGATAAATAATTGATAAACAGGTTAAGGTTGAATGCTACTTTCTACTTATTCCTTGTCTTTAAGTAATTTTTCAATAAAGATGGGCCTTGCCATCGCTGCAATCGTAGGGTCTACTTATTTTTTTAGGTACCAAATGAGGCGAGTGGGCCACCTTGGGCTCAGCGATTTGGATCCAACAAGAATAAAGAAGGAAAGTGAAAAAGTGGGAGAGAAGAGAATGAGGAGGAATTTCACTATTTCAGGGGACTTGAAAAAATAAGAAGAAGAAAAAAAAAGGCATGTGAGAGAGAAAGAAAAGGGGAAAAAGCTAATTGAAACTATTTATTTTCAATTTTAGTTGCTTTCCTTTTTCTTTTTTTTTTTGGTCCATGTAATGAAGAACAAGACAAGAAACATTTTTGTAATCTACACATGAAGCCCACAAACAAGTTTGGGTTATTAGTTTTCCGCTATTTTATGGGCTTATGAGTAGTAAAGCCCAATAAGAGTTGAATAGGTAGATATCTCCGTTAGAGAACTTGCATATGTGAACTCATGGGTTATAATGCGTTCTCCGTGCAACTGTGCAAAAAAAATCATATTCAGATAAACATCTTCGTAAAACACTTTAAAGAGAAGATAAATATAAATAAATTAGCTTTTCTCATAAGCTCAAATTAATTTATGTGTAAGTTAATTGTATTTATTTAGCTTCTTCAAAAGCTGAATTTTAATTTATACTTACGTTAATTTTAGTCAATGAAAGTTAATTCGTCTTTTTCTTTTGCTAAAAGTGTACATCTTTGTAGAAAACTTTATTCAAATAGGGTTTATGTCTTTATGATGATCCGACCTAATTAATAAATTCCCAAAAATATGAATTTACAATTTGGACTGTGAAGCCTATGAAATTGAGGAGGATCCATCTAGCTCCTTACTATTCTGTATAAATTAATTTCCCATTCTTGTCAATTCTTTAATTCCCATTCATCAATTCAATCTACTTAGGATGTGTTTGTTTAATGTGAATCTCACTTTCCAAATCACGTTGAATGTCAATCCCAGTTTCACGGGTCATTGGTTAGCCAACAAAAATTCAAACGCAGCCTTAATTGGAATCTCAATGATCAAAATATTTTGACCAAGTCAAACTATGTTCTGGAAGCTAAACCATAGTTTATTTCTCTAACAAATCTAACACTATTATACTCGTTCCTCATAATTGTGCAACGTTGTTGCAGCAAAGAATAGTTTAAGGGAAAGA